CCGGGCTGGGGATTCGAACCCGCTACCTTAGGTGTACGTGGCTGGCGCCTTAGCCGGTTGAGCTATAGGTGCCGAGCCTCAATCTTCAACTTTTAATCAGAAGTTCAAGCATAAAATCTAGGCTGATTTTGAACATTAACATATAGAGAATGAGAAGTATCAAAGGATGGTCAGAGGCTTGTATTAAAGAGTTCCTGCTGATGAAAGATGGTAGTGATGGTAGTAGCCATGAGGATGGGCTGAGGATGGGCTGAAGATGGGGAGGGAAAAATGCAGAAGCCTGTGGGGAAAATGGTTAGGCCTTTTGTGATTAGGAAGAGACAGAGGTGTGCTCCTTAGACAGCTGCAGCAGAATGGAGACAGCAACATAGAGAGCACACAAGTCTGATGCCTCCGTGTCCCAGCTCATGTCATGAGGATTGCTGGCCTGATTATTGAAGATCTGCTCCACCTGGAAGGAAGGAAATCCACCAGCCTGTGAACGCGGTGAATAATGATATACCACAAATGGCAAATATTTGGCCACAGTCCTGAGCCCACAGGGAGATGTACTCATCCATCATGGCACTCTTTCTTACATAGCATGGAAAGCCTCATACGCTCTCAGCATAATGGCAAGCACTCCTAATGAATCCACACTGACACTCAAGGTCATACCAGCTAGCATTTTGGGACTAACCACTTTCCACCCCATAGGCAAGCAGCAGAGCCTAAAGAATCCACTCAGATTATCCTGGCAATGGTGCATCCAGGGAATTGTCACAAACCAGCCACATGGATGTGAGCTGGCAAAGAACTATGGAGTAAGAAGGGACTGTGTCGTGGGACTTCTGGATCCCTTCAGAACGTAGGCACTCACTTCCACTGTTACCGTGGTCCTCAGCCCAGGCTGTCTCACCTGATCCTTCAACTGAGGCAGGATCCTTTTCTTCAGGGCCTCCACCACAAACTGCTTCTCCTCAGGTAGCTCTGGGGGCAAAAAAAAAAGAGAAGGTGGTTGGCAGAAAGGAGAGACACGTGGTGGGACAGGGCTTCAGTAGCAGATCAGGCCCAAGACACTGCATCATCAGAAGGTTCCAGAGAGCCCCTGGGAGTGCTAGATGAGAGTTATTCTAAAACGGGCTCCTGCTGTGGCTCCTGTTCTCCTCCCTCCTGGCCTGCAGGGGGGTGGGGGGGGAGCACCCCTCAATGCCTGGCCTGAGGGAAATGAGTAGTATCTGAAACAAGAGGGAACATCCCTGACAGGATACAGGGCAGTGTGTACCCCCGTCCTGAGATTTGATTCTCCACAGGCCTCTCTGCTCAGCTCTTCCTACGCCTTGTAGCCAAACCCTTCCTTACCTATCAAGGCATCCAGGAGGTCCAGAATGGTTTCGGCAGGCGCTTTCAACAAGATCCCAGCAGTATTAAAAAGGCTGCTTAGCAGAGGCCCTGATGAGCCTTCCATCTGCAGCTCACCAGAGACCAGGGTCTCAAACACCTGGGGTGGGGAGATGGGGAAGCTCAGCACGCATCTCCCTGGCAGGTTACCCTCATTGAGCTGACTGTCCCCACCCCGTCTCAGGGTCCCTTACTCTTTCCTGTAGATCCTCCAGATGCCCATCCTCGCTGAGGCACTGCATTAGGGAGCTTAGCACCTCTTTTTGCTCCACCTCAGTCAGATCATGGAGACCGCTCACCATGTCTTCCACCCTCTCCTTTATGTTGCTGGGATCCTCCAAATGCAAGGGCTTTGTGGAATCGTCTGACTCCAAGGACCTTCCTGTAGAGGCAGCAATTAAGAACCTGGCCTACCCAGCCCAAAAGGCTCTATTCCTGGCTCGGTGCCTGTGGCTCAAGTGGCTAAGGTGCCAGCCACATACACCTAAGGTGGCGGGTTCGAATCCAGCCCAGGCCCGCCAAACAACAATGACGGCTGCAACCAAAAAATAGCCGGGCATTGTGGCGGGCACCTGTGGTCCCAACTACTTGGGAGGTGGAGGCAGGAGACTCGCTTGAGCCCAGGAGTTGGAGGCTACTGTGAGCTGTGAAGCCACGGCACTCTGCCCAGGGGGATAGCTTGAGGCTCAAAAAAAAAAAAAAAAAGGCTTTATTCCTAAGGCTCCATTATTTGTCTGCCTATCTATCCTCTGGAGACCACCTCTCTGTGTCTTTCCTTCTTCCAAACTTTTCCTATTAAAATGAAGCACCCTTCTTCCCAGACATCTGCCATCATTGCTTCCCATGGACCCCACTTCCATCTCCCCACTCATCCCCAATGGAGTCCCAACTCCAAATTCTTCTCCACCTCCAGGAAAGAAACAGAACTTGGTTATTTTGTCCTTGCCATTCAAAATGGAATCCTCAGGCCACACTAGGAGTAATGAGGGTTTAGAGAAAGTGAAAACTGGAGTTCCCAACCTTGACTGCGTGGGAACCACCTGGGAAGTTATTACACATCCAATGTCCAGGCCTCACCCCAGACCAATTCAGTCAGAATTTCTGGAGAAAGGACTCAGATGTCACTAGGTTTAAAGTGCCCTTGGTGGGCACAGTGGTATGCACCCAGAGTCCCAACTGCTCCAGAGGCCAAAGCAGGAGGATTACTTGAGCCCTGGATTCAAGACTAGCCTGGGAAGCATAGACCCCCCCAATCTCTAAAATCAATAAATGAATAAAGTTTCTAGGTGATGTCAATTTACAACCAAGGAGAACCACCATGTTTAGAGGACAGACACAACCTCCAGACTAAAGTTGAAGCCTGCTGGGCATTGCCCCCCGTCCATACTCACTCAGCTGACCCCACCGGAGCACTTAGTAGTCCTAAGCCAGGTGGGCTCAAGGGTGGAAGGGTGCAGCCACCCTGAATATACTTGGTAACCATTCTTACCTAAACAGGATAAACCACCATCCTTCTCTGCGAAGAGAGGAAGAATTATTTCAGAGAGTCTTCAGGTCACCTCTAGCCCCTCCATAGACATTTTCTTTGCAGTGATGGAAATTTTTATTTTGCACTCTGAGCCCTTACTGCCCATGCCAGAGAGCCTGCATCCTCATTTTTGCATATAAATTGAAAAACTCTAAACTGACAGGCCCCTTCCCCTCTCCTCAATGACAGGCAGCCAAAGGATTATGCCCAGACAACCCAAGAAGAAACCAAAGCCCAGAGAGAATACGACATATACTCGGTCACCCAGCAAATTTGGTTAGACCTCTCTCCATCTCTTCCCAATGCCTCTTAGGCAGTGTAACCCTGCTGAGATCCAGGGAAAAACATAGAAATTCCAGAAGAAGCCACATTCAGAATCACAAGGACCTTCTAGTCTAACCCCTTTATTTTAAAATCAGGAAAACTGACTGGGGAGGTGTAAAGCTAATGAGTAGCAGAGTGGAACCCTGAGACCCTAACACCATCCAACTCCAGACTAGTCCTTGTGTCACAGCCAGTGCTGTCATGTCAGAACTGGCCAGGTAATTCAATTGTGCCTCCTGGGCCAACCAGCCTTCAGTCAAGGCTGGGAGCCAGGATCCAGCAGACTGCCCGGCACAAAGCAGGACAGAGTTGTCTTTGCTTTGGGAACAGCCGGGAAACTCTAGTCCAACATTTAATCCAGATTCCTGCTCCAGCAGGCAGATTTTTCTCCTGCCCTTACCATGGTTCCCACATCTGGGTGCATCCTACCATATTCTTAGCCCTAACGACTCCATACTTCCAGGTCACCTGTCATGCTCTTTTTAAAAATAGTATCCTGGCCATTCTGAAATGATAAAGGGGAGGATCCACAGCTCACTCACCTTCTGGAAAGGATTTTGTTTTGTCCCCGAAGTAAACACCTAAACCAGCACAGAGATGAGAGAGACAGAAAGACAGAAAGAAGTTATTAGACCAGTTTTCTTTCTGCAGTTTCCCTTTTTCTGTCCTCAACCAAAGGAAAAAAAAAAAAAAGGCAACTATGAAATAGAATTAACCCCTCCAGGGAAAGGCTGGTGCCATGGTGAGGCATATCCTGGCTCAGCCAGGTCCAGGTCCCCAGGTTGAAGTATGGAGCTTCATCCTTCTTCCCAGCCCTGAACCCTCTTCCCTGGAGCCCACCCCACCCCCAGCCAAGCTCACCAGCCACCAGCCACCCACCCTAGGCTGACACGGAGCCTTCCTGAATCCACCTCCACCCCACTCATGTGCTCAGGGCTCCCCATCTTGCTCCCACCAGGCCTTGCTTACTCATCCTCTCCGTGTTGGGAAAAACGAGCTGCTTTACTCGATAGCCCACAACCGACTTGGGGGGGATGGTCACTTTCCCTAGATTCTAGGAAAAAGGAGCTTACATTGATAGATCCCCAAACACTTCACATGGTTTTATATTTTGGAGACAAGGGTCTCACTTGGGCACCCTCGGTAGAGTGCTGTAGCATCACAGCTCATAGCAACCTCAAATTCTTGGGCTCAAGTGATTCTCTTGCCTCAGCCCCCTGAGTAGCTGGGACTATAGGTGCCCGCCACAATGCCGGGCTATTTTTGGAGACCAGATCTCACTCTGGCTCAGGCTGGTCTCAAACCTGTGAGCTCAGGCAATCTACCCACTTTGGCCTCCCAGAGCACTAGGATTACAGGTGTGAGCCACCATGCCTGGTCCCTTTACATGGTATCTTGCCTGATCTCCCAAATAATCCTCTGAGGTAAAAACTTGTATCCCCTTTTTACAGAGAAGAAATCTGAGACTCTGAGAGACTAGTGGTTAGTAGATGAGTCAATCTCACAGTTAAGAACAGTGGCAGAGCTGAAATTTGAACCCACATCTGAGACCAAAACACATGTTGCCACTGTTCAGTCAAGGAATGTTTACTGAGCCTCGCTTTGTTCTAGGTACTGTGCCCCTGACCTCTTGCCTTCTAGAAAGAAAGGCAGACAATGAACAAGAAAATACACCTGTGGAATTATGAACCTTGGGAAGTGCTCTGAAAAAAATGAAAAGAGACTACCCAGTAGAGAGTAGTGAGGCCAGATGGAGTGATGCCACTCACCCTTCCTGGGGCAGGAAGGCCAAGGAGCAGCCATGGCTGCTTAGAGAGGTCTGAAGGAAGAGCTGAAGAGTCTAGAGCAGTGGTTCTCAGCCTTCCTAACACCGCGACCCTTTAATACAGTTCCTCATGTTCTGGTGACCCCCAACCATAAAATTATTTCTGTTGCCACTTTATAACTGTAATTTTGCTACTGTTATGAATCGTATCTGATATGCAGGGGTCGCGACCCACGGGTTGAGAACTGCCAGTCTCGAGTTTGGGCTGACATCCCCTTGACCTACAGGAAGTGGCCAACGCTGGCTGGTTGGCCCACAATCCCTGCCTCCCAGGATCATTAGCTGTTCGTTATGTTCATAGTCGATACTGCCCTGAAAGATCTGACTCTGAAGTTTATATTGCTTTTTAGGGTTTGTCAGGAGTTGCTTCTTTGTTGTCTCCAGAGTTTCCGTTACCAGATACAAGTCTGCCCTTGTTGCACGAATTGATTGAAATGAAGGGGGCAGTCCCCTTTTCAGCTTCCTGTTCAGAAGAGATGGGAGGTCAGCTCACAGGGACCCACCTCCCAGTGACACCTTCCCCTCTCCGTAAACCAGTTTCAGCGCCCCATCGCAGTTTACCCTGGGGAGAAGGGTGAAGAGTGGGAAGAGAACTCACTAGCATTTATGGATGATTACAACGTGCCAGCACTGAGATACTTCACACACCATTCTGTTTCACCCTCACCATAATCCTAGGAGGTAGGCAGAATTACATCCATTTTTCATGGATGAAAAATGACAGGTTGTGAATGGTCCAAAGTCACATAGTAAATGTACAGCTAGGATTCAAATCTTAGTTTATGTAACTCCAAAGTATGAGCCCTTCCCATGATATTGCGATAGGAATTGCTGAGCCCAAAACACTCCCTTCTCTGACAAAGGGCGCCAGCTCCTTGCTCTGGTCCAAGCCGCATGGCCTGCCCCTGGGTTCATGAGGCATCTGATTCCATAATGAAATTCATTTCATAACTTAATACAGTATGATGGAGTTTCTGCTATTTGCAACTAAAAGATCTCATGGGAAGACATCCATGTCTTTCTCTGATAAGTTTCTCCTACCCATATACAGACACCAACACCCTCACCCGAGAAACAACAGGCATTCTATTCCTTTTCTTTCTTTTTGAGACAGAGTCTCACTCCATTGCCTTAGGTAAGTGAGTAGGCATCATCATAGCTCACGGTAACCTCAGTCTCTTGGGCGCAAGCAATCCCCTTGCCTCAGCCTCCTGAATAGCTGGGATTACAGGCACCCACCACAATGCCCAGCTAGTTTTTATACTCTTAGTAGAGATGGGGTTTTGCTCTTGCTCAGGCTGGTCTCAAACTTCCAAACTCAAGCAACCGACCTGCCTTGGCCCCCCAGAATGCTAGGATTTCTAGAAAAAACTGAGCTGCCTTAGAAGGCTTCTCCCCAGCAATACTGCAGTGGGGAGGGGTAGTTCAAGGAACCAGTAAAATCTTACCATAAGCTCAAGTTTTTAATTCAAAAAGAGAAAGAAAAAGTACCCACCCCACTCAAGGAGAGCTAGCCTGGGAGAAATGTGGAACACCTTCCCTGAGCCATCCGTCAGTCCCCAACAGTCCTGGCTGAGGAACACCAGCACCAACAATAAAACCATTGCTGAGGGGACAGCCAGGGATGCTCCCTTAAGTTGGAAGCACCATGTCCTCTGGCTGTCAGAATCCCCCTAGTATTTGATTCATGCCACCTCGATGGGGTGGAGTGGTGGCACTCTCTACACAGGAAAAGCTCTAAGAGGGGTGCTTTGATTTCACTGCGTGCTGGGGTCAGTACAGAGGTTGGTAAAGTCAGTCCCTTGTCACGAGTCACTCCCAGTCCAGTGGAGAAGAAAGACATGGAAACCACGGATGTCCCCTCAAGGCAGAATGACACAAGCACAGAATGCTGATCTAGGCAACTCAGTATAGGAGAGCAGAGGAGAGTAAGATCTTAAAACCAGCAGGTTTGTCCAATTGAGAGTAATTAATCTCCCTGGAGGGTAGCAGGGATGTGAGCGAATTGGGGGTATCAGAGGGTTTCCTGGAGGCTGCTCTGGAAGAAGGAGAAGCCTTCCTGAAGGGAGAGAAGAGGCAGGTTTGAGCAAAGGCGCGGGAGTGAGAGGCTGCACTAGGGAGCTGGCGCCCCCACTCTTAGGTCCCCTGGTGCCCGAGATGGACCTTCCCCCTTCTCCCTCCCCACTAATTCACAACTCCAGTCTCACCTGTTCTGAAGAGTATTCAGATATTGCTGGGATATCTGGTTCTTCAGAAGCTCGGTTTTCCACTTATGAGACACCTGGAAGCTGCCTTCGATTTCTATTCCTTTCCATTTCACGGTCAGCTTTCTCTTTGAGTCCACATGGTCCTCCATTTGGAACTTAGACTTTTGACCTTGGAAGTGAAGGGTAAATAAAAGTTCACACTGAAGCTGACCCAAAAGATCTGTCTCGGAAAACCCCGCTTAGAGCAGCCCTATCCTAGAATCCGGGCCACCATCCCCCTGCCTTCAGAGGAAGCGCTTTACCAGAGGCAGAGTCATCATGGGCTCACACCTTCTCGGACTTGAACCCCCTCCTCCTCCTTGTTACCAAATGACCTTGGGTGAGTCACTGAACCTTTTTTAATTTGTTTCTTCATCTATTGAAGGAGAATATTAGTAGTGCCTACTTCCTATGCTTAGGAAAATTAAATAAAATAATATAGTTAAAAATGCCTGGCACTCACGCTAAGTGTCCCATAATTAGGAGGTAGTCCTATTTAACTATTCGAGAGGCCAAAATGAGGCGAGGGAAAGTAAAGCAAAAGTAGTAAGAGCCCCCATGATTTGAACACTTTCTATGGGGGAAACAGAAAGTGTCCACTGTTCATATGAATCAGGCAGGTGTAAAACAAGGCAATCCTGCAAAGCCGCCCACTCACATGGACACTGCCTGACAGATCAGACACTAATAAGGGGCTTGATTCTGAGTCACTGCTGCCTGGGGTTAGTGGAAGGCGTGTGGGTGTGCAGAAGGGGCCAGTGTCTTTCTCTCAGACCTCCCAAGCGTGAGTGGAAAGAGGACCCAGAGCTCCTACTGCTAGATTTTGGAGGCAGTCTAGATTTCCAGAGAAAAATCCATTTTGAAACTGGTAGAAACATGGCAGAATTGGAAATAGTGCCTGAAACCAGCACTGTACGTGTGATACTAAAATCTTAGGGCCCACTTCTTTCTTGAGAAGTGTAAAAGAGAGAAAAGAAGGGCGGCACCTGTGGCTCTGTGAGCAGGGCACTGGCCCCATATACTGAGGATGGCAAGTTCAAACCCAGCCCCGGCCAAACTGCAACAAAAAAAATAGCCGGGCGTTGTGTCAGGCACCTGTAGTCCTGGCTACTTGGGAGGCTGAGGCAAGAGAATCACTTAAGCCCTAAGCCCAAGAGTTGGAGGTTGCTGTGAGCTGTGTGACGCCACAACACTCTACCAAGGGTGATAAAGTGAGACTCTGTCTCTACAAAAAAAAAGAGAGAGAGAAAAAAGAAAAAGAAAAACTACATACACAAAGAATACTGTATAGAAAAGGGGGGGGAAAGACTAGTTTTGCAGTGGAGGAACCTGACAAATGTCACCTCAGCCAAGTGATCGAGGTCAGCATGGACAGTGGTGGTGAGTCAGGTTGATAGCATGTCCCCTTAATATGAAGCGATAAGAATGGCATTTCACTTCTGTGGTCTTCCTCCCCAAGACCCAGAACCCCATGGGGAAAAGTCAGACAGATTCCTATAGAAGGAAATACAATATGCCCGACTGTACTGCTCACAACCACCAAGGTCATCAAAGACAAGGAAAGTCTAAGAAACTCTCACAGCCAAGAGAAGCCTAAGGAGACATGACAAAAACATAATGTAGTGTCCTGGACGGGACTCTGGAATAGAAAAAGGACATTAAGCACTAAGATAATATGAATAAAGTATGGACTTTAATTTAAAAAAAAAAAAAACCTATGCACACTTTAACCACACCATCAGCACTACATAGTTAAAAAGTAAAGAATACATTTGAATGACTGGGGAAGGTGCCTCATGCCTGTAATCCTAGCACTCTGGGAGGCCAAGGCAGGTAGATTGCTTGAGATCAGGGGGTTGAGACCAGCCTGAGCAAGAGCGAGATCCTATCTTTATTAAAAATGGAAAAACTGGCTCAGCACCTATAGCTCAGCAGCTAGGGCGCCAGCCACATACACTGGAGCTGGTGGGGTCAAACCCAGCCCGGGCCTGCCAAACAATATTGACAACTATAATCAAAAAGTAGCCAGGTGTTGTGGTGGGCACCTGTAGTCCCAGCTACTTGGGAAGCTGAGGCAAGAGAATTTCAAAGCCCAAGAGTTGGAGGTTGCTGTGAGCTATGACACCACAGCACTCTACCAAGGGAGACATAGTGAGACTCTGTGTCAAAATAAATAAATATATAAATAAAAATAGAAAAACTAAGCAGGCATGCAGGTGCCTGTAGTCCCAGCTACTCAGGAGGCTGAGGCAGGAGGATCACTTGAGCCAAGAATATGAGGTTGCCATGAGCTATGATGATACCATCTGCACTCTACCCAGGGTGACAGAGTGAGACTGTCTCAAAAAAAAAAAAAAAAAAAAAAAAAAACACATTTGAAAAGGGAGCAGATCAAGTTGCTGAAAATCAATTCAAATTCAACTAACTTTATTGTAAGGATTTTCATTTCAAGTTTGATTTCACCTCTGCCTCTGAATTTTTATACACAAACAGATAGGCTTTTCCTTCAAGGAAGCTGACTGACTTAGTCAAAACTTTCTCTAGATTTAGAGAGAGTCCCTGAAGAGTAATATGATCATGACAAAACTCCTAGTCCCTGATTAAAGTATTTTTCTTTATTCAGTGAATTTGATCATTTGGCAAACATTTTTGGAGAACTGCTTTTAGAATCTTTGAAAAATACTAACTTGAAATTTCTCCTTTAGTCTCTTACTAAACCCCTCTTGTGGAAATACCCACCACCTCCAAGTAATCTGGATCCTGCTCTTGTCACTTAACAGCAGTGTGTGGCACATGGCAGGGACTCTGAAACTGTTCAGAGGTACTGTTAGAACTATCTACCATCTCTCAGTATGAGACCCAGTCAAAAGAAACGGGCTGTATCAGAGAGGTCTAAGCCATGACACTTCTGACCACTTCTAATATTATGGATTTTTTTTACATTATGAAATATGGTGAATACGCCTCACCACATTTCACCAAATAAGGTCTCCAAGAGAGGGTTCAATACTTATCCTGGGTCTTCTGAAACATACCCCACAAACCCCAGGAATACTGAGATCAGAGGCAGAGGGAGTGATTAATTGACTCTTCTAAAAATCCCTTCAAGCCCTTAGGGATTTCTGCTCCTTAGCCACTTCCTTTCAGTCATGTATCCAGAAAATAAGAAAGGATAATAATCCTGCAGCCACCACCAGAATGATCGGAGCTTACTTTTATTGAGTGCTCCTTTTATGCCAGGCACCATGATAAATAATTTATGCAACTTATTCTTATTGGATTCTTACAAGAGTCTTCTAGAGTTGACAGATGAGGAAACTGCAACTTACAGAGGTAAAGCAACTTGTCCAGATGTCATTCAGCTGGTAAGAGGCAGGCTTTAAAACCAGGTGTCTCTAGCTTTAAAGTCTGTATCCTTTCCTAACCATTAAGGAAACTGCCTCCATTTATATGCCCATTTAGATGATAAACACATAAACACTTGAGAAGAGCTCAGCTAATTTATTTATTTATTTATTTATTTTGAGACAGAGCCTCAAGCTGTCCCCCTGGGTAGAGTACCGTGGCATTACAACTCACAGCAACCTCCAACTCCTGGGCTCAAGCGAGTCTCCTGCCTCTGCCTCCCAAGTAGCTGGGACCACAGGCGCCTGCCACAACGCCCGGCCATTTTTTGGTTGCAGCCGTCATTGTTGTTTGGTGGGTCCGGGCTGGGGATTCGAACCCGCCACCTTAGGTGTACGTGGCTGGCGCCTTAGCCGGTTGAGCTATAGGCGCCGAGCCAAGCTCAGCTAATTTAAAAGCACATTATTTATAAAGAGAAAAAATGGGAAAGGAAAACTAGGAATCATTTCCAATATAAATAAATCTCCACTTCCTCCCTTCACCTCCCCCTATGCAGCTCTTTTGTGCATTTCATAAATTAGGGTGTGGGGACCTGTTCCACAGTTTCTTTGGGGGTTTTTTGTTTGTTTATATGCTTTTTGAGACAGAGCCCCAAGCTGTCACCTTGGGTAGAGTGCCATGGCATCACAGCTCACAGCAACCTCCAACTCCTGGGCTTCAGCAATTCTCTTGCCTCAGCCTCCCAAGTAGCTGAGACTATAGACACCTGCCACATTTTTTGGTTGCAGTTGTAATTGTTGTTTGGCAGACCCGGGCTAGATTCAAACCAGACAACTCTGGTGTATTGGCTGGCACCTTAGCTGCTTGAGCTACAGGCACCAAGCCCACGGTTTCTTTGTTGATGGTTGACCTGGATTGTGACAATGGGGAATTGAGAAGGAGATGCAGTACAGTGGGCAAGGCCTCCCAGTGGCCATCTCTCATTCACCTTATACTGACCTTGGCATGCAGAATCCAGTTCATCAGACAGACTTTCACCCTCCTCTCCCTCCAGTATGTCAGCCAAAGTAAGGTCTGTCTTGTAGTACCGACTTCCCAGGAAAGTTCTTTTCTTCCTCACCAACCAGAAACAGTGGAATCTATCAGCATCACTGATGCTTCTGACAGGAATCATATCCCCTCCAGAATCCATCTCCTGGACCACAGATCTTGTGAATTCCTTAAATGCACTGGGCATTGTGCCTGGAACAACTGGGAAAAAGAAGCCAATTTCAGTTTGTGATAGGAGAGAGTATTGGTTTAGGTTCTTTTTGTTGTTTTCTCTTTTTGTTTTTTGTTGTTGTTGTTGATACAGAGTCTCAAGCTGTCACTCTGCATAGAGTTCCGTGGTGTCACAGCTCACAGCAACCTCAAACTCTTGGGCTTAAGTGATTCTCTTGCCTCAGCCTCCCAAGTAACTGGGACTATAGGTGCCTGCCACAATGCCCAGCTATTTTTTGGTTGCAGTTGTTATGTTTAGCAGGCCTGGGACGGGCTTGAACCTGCCAGACTCAGTGTATGTGGCTGGCACCCTACTCACTGAGCTACAGGTGCCGAGCCTTATTTTGGTTTTAATGTATTTGTTTTGATTCATACTTTCTTTCAGTAAACATTTAATGGGTACCTACTTTGTGTCCGGCATTGTAATAGGCCCTGGTTTGATAAGAAATTATACAAATTACAGTTCAAAGATCCCATATAACCAGCTTATAAATGCCACATATCACTAGCATTCTTCCTCAGAATTTTATGCTTATAATTTTAAAAAGAATAAGTTATTCAGCTTGGTGCCTATGGCTCAAGCAGCTAAGGTACCAGCCACATACACCTGAGCTGGTGGGTTCGAATCCAGCCTGGGCCCGCCAAACAACAATAATGGCTGCAACCAAAGAATAGCCAGACATTGTGGCGGGTGCCTGTAATCCCAGCTACTTGGGAAGCAGAGACAGGAGAATTGCTTGAGCCCAGGAGTTGGAGGTTGCTGTGAGCTGTGATGCCACGACATTCTACCCAGGGTGACAGCTTGAGGCTCTGTCTCAAAAAATAAAGAAAAGAATAAGTAAAACTACATTTTGTGATTTATAACTATAAAAATCTGATCAGTTTATCATATAAATACATCCCTACCTCCTGCTTTTTTTTTCAGATAGCTATGAGGGCACAAATGTTTAGATTACAATGTTTTCATTTCTGGCTTGGCGCCTGTGGCTCAAGTGCCTAAGGCACCAGCCACATACACCTAATGTGGCAGGTTCGAATCCCCAGCCCGGGCCCACCAAACAACAATGACAGCTGCAACCAAAAAATGGCCAGGCGTTGTGGCGGGCGCCTGTGGTCCCAGCTACTTGGGAGGCTGAGGCAGGAGACTCGCTTGAGCCCAGGAGTTGGAGGTTGCTGTGAGCTGTAATGCCACGGCACTCTACCCAGGGGGATAGCTTGAGGCTCCGTCTCAAAAAAAAAAAAAAAAACAATGTTTTCATTTCTAAAGTAAAGTTCAAGTTGTTGTTGAACCCTTCACCTACATAAAGGGGACCCAGGAGCCATGCTGAACACCCTCGCATTGTGCACAGTAGGTGCAATCTCACCAATCACTCTCTCCTCTGAGAGAACCAGACAAACACCATTTTAGGCAGCTCCCACCATCTTGAGAAATAAGTTTCAGTTTCCCCACCAGGTATTTCCCCATAATCGCATGATTCCTACCACCCAATCAGAGCACACCTTGTGATCAGACCACTGGGCCACTAGTGCCCAATCCTGAGCTGCCCCATACTCAGATCTTCCCCAAACCCCACCTACGATCCCAACCCCATTAAATACACCCACCACCCCACATCCCCCACAACCCCCACCCCACCCAGCTCACGGCTCTCAGCCAGGATCCGGCTCTCGGCCAGGATCTGTTGCAGTGGAGCCCCTGGGAGTCCAAGCTCAAACTTGCTGCAATAAAGGCCCTTTTGCTTTTGCATCAGACTCGGCTCCCGGTGGTCTTTGGGAACTACCTGATCTGGGCACAACACCTCCCTGCTCCCTGGTTTAGGTTTTTAAGTCTTCTACCTTTTGGCAGTCTGGAGTCAAGGAAGAGCCAAAGGTTCCAGGCCCTGTAGTGGTTTGCCTTCTCTGTTTCTAGAATATGAGGCAGCCATGACACATTAAGGAAGGGTAAATATCACGTGTCTCAGATTCTCCCCTGCCCCCCATAGACTCATCTGGAGGAAAGAAGGGGAAACTCATTCTTTATATCCCCAACAGCAGCAGAATTACCCCAATTCCAAGAAGCCTGAGGGGGAAGGCAGGCCCACTGTCCCTCAGCCAGACTCTTACCAATGTTAAAGAAGAAAAGAATCAGGGAAGCATGAGGGGAGGAGAAGCATGGTTTCCATGTTGCAGGAAGACGAGGCCCAACAGAGAGAAAGAGCACCCAAACACCATGTTTATAAGAGGAAAGGCTTTATTTACCAGCAGGGAGCTTATGGCATAAAAGAATCTGAAATGGCCAGGCTCCCCGACTGGCTTGATCTTGCCCTTTTTATCTCTAATCAAAAAGTGCCGACCCAGAGCTATCTTTTCCGTTGGCCAGTTTGAATCAAGTGGGAGATGCTGTTCCAGCCCCCCACAGAACTATAGGATTTCACAGAAGTGGAACTTTCCAAGTTCCAAGAAGTTAAGTCTACAAATTCCCAACAGCTAAGTCACCATGGAGAGGACCCTGCAGGTGTATCCTTGTGGTCTCCTTGAGAAGACCTGTTTTCCTAGACCTCACCTTCTAGGGTATCCTCTCTCATTTGCCCCTTTTGAGACTCCAAATTAAAATAGCCAGACCTCACATTGCCAACCCCACTGGTTACTCCTCCCCTAGGCTCTGACTCCTGGACTCCTTCCCTTGCTGTGTTCTGCAAGGCAGTGGAATGGGTGCCTCCCCACCAATCACTTCCCAACAAGATGAGGTTAAGTTGGCCTCCCAAGACACAAAAACTTCCTAGGATCCACATGCTCATCTTACCTCTGCTCACCTTCCCATATGTCCTTTCTTTCTATCCCAGCCACCTACCTATCCACTGCTCCTTCTCTGTCCCTACCCCATCTTGGTGGTCAACCCTCAACCTGAGAATTCTTTTCAGTGCCCAGGGACCACAGCCCATCTCAGAGGCCACCCACCTCCTGTCCGTCCTGGGCTGTTCACCAGAATTCCTGGCCTCAGAGTCTCAGGAAGTTGGAATAATGGAATTGAAAATCCTCCAGGTGAGCACAGTTCAAAGGCTGGGTAGGGCTGGGTTCCCCACCTCCCAGGTCTTTAGATAAGCAAATTTTATGACTGAGCTTGAAGCATAAAGGGCCAGAACCTCTTCCTTCCTCTTGGACCCAAGGAACTGGTGGGAGATCCTGATAGCTATTCTAGGTGGGTGTGGGCCAGAGAATTGTACAGAACAAGGCACACTGGGCCATGGAGTCCAGTGAGTTTGGAATAGAGAACTGGAATATGGGCGAGTACCAACCAAGTGCCAGCAGACAATGGCTATGGCTGTGCTAGGGATATGAGGGTAACGTCACAGAAACAGCCACTCACACACCATGCTGTGGCCAGCAGCAATGAAGATTCAGGACAACCACCGCTAACGCCTGTAGAGAACTGGCTGGGCCTACACAGAGCATGCAGCCCCCCTCTCAGTGAGGTGGGGATCTTCTCTAGCTAGATGCCACCTACTTTGCCACCCACCTCCTTCTCTGCAGAGAGGCCTCTGCCCCACCCTGTCCCTCAGAGATAAACACCGGGTGAGGGGTGAGACCAACCCATCTTCTGGCCTCTGCAGGCCTCAGTTCTGAAAGAACATTTAAGGAGACAATACTGGTGGTGGTAAAAATAATAGCAATATTATGGCTACCAAGTATTACATATTTACATGCCAGGCCAGTCCTAATGCTCACAGCAGCCCTCAGGGGGATTATCCTTATACAAAGCAGAGGAAGAAACTAAAGCTCAGACAAGTAACTTGACAAGCCCACATGGCTAGTAAGCTGGGATTTGAGCCCAAATCATTGATGTGTCCCAAGCACCTCACCCTGTCTATACTCTGGCAGGGCTATGAAAGCAACCAGGGCACCCCCACCCCCAGGACTGAACCCAGTGGCTGCATTTCTCTTCTCAATACTATGTGGTTCCTACTCAGGGGAGGGGATGGCGGCTGGACTCAGGCAAGGATTCCATACTCTTCCTAACCTCCACCTCGAGGGCCAGGGCCAGAGAGGAGCCCAGGCTGCTGGGGCTAGCACCTCCCTTTCACCTGGGCCTTTGGTTCCTGTTCTGGGGCTGGCAAATGATGATGCACAGGACATGCTGAAAGGCCAGTGCCCTCAAGATAAGGATTCCTCCGTTACAGGACTCCTCTCCGTCCTGCCTGTGCCAGCTACATAACTCCTGAGGAGTCACCTCTTCCCTTCTACTCATGTTTATGGTGGAAGGAGGCGGCGTGGAAATTCCCCTGGACAGAAAGGGCAGGAGTAATTAGGGGAAGGTCTTGGGAAGAGAAGTGAGAAACTGGGAAAGGAACCAGGGGGGATTCAGAGGGAAGTATAGGGCACCCCTCAGGACCTCTCCTCACTGCAGGACGGACCTCTACCTTGGTCATGGCATAAGCCACCCAGTCTGTGGAGCCCAGAGGTACAAGGCCTGTCAGTAGAGCAGCCAGGCAGAGGCACAGAGAGTTCTGCTCTCTGACTTGCGGCTCCCTCCCAGACCCCTTAGATTTCTCTGCTGGGGGCAGTAGATACCAGCAGTCCCAGAATCCCTCTCACTATCCAGTCAGAGGGCTACACTGATGCCCCCACCCTTGACCCCTCCAGGAAACAAATGTCAGACACAATGGAAACAGGAACACATTACCCTTTATTTGCATTTCTCAGAATACTGTACAAAGGGAGTAAAAATCCTATTCACACTTTGCTTAGAAAGATTTTGAGGTGAAAGTTCCCTATGATACATGGGGTGGGGGTGGGGCACGAGGGCCAGTGACCTCATCTCCTTCAGGCCCCTAGGCAAGGACACATGTCCCGCTCCATTTCAACCCTAGTAACACCACCCCTAGTTGGACTGGGGAGGCTCAGGGCCCACCTTTCTTCTCCTCAGGCTGAGGAGACAGCACCCACAGGCCACTCCTAGTTCTCTCCGCTGGCCTGCTCTAGCCCACCGACCTGTGCAAAGGTGGCCCGATGGCCCCACAGGTGCACACTGGATGAGAGGCCCTGCCCAGTGCCAGTGTGCACAAGGAGGCTACAGGCTGACGAGCTGCGGAGGACCACAGCATCCCCCATTTCCCTCGAGGCTTCCCTACACCCCTCACGCCACTGCAGAAAGCAGTACCAGAGTGGACCTGGGCTCACAGGCCTCTTGCTCTCTTGTCTACTCCCTCCCCCAGCCCAGGAGCTTCAAGCCCACAGCAGCCTCCCTTCCCTATCACCATCACCGTTCTGCCAGGAATTAACCCTCCAAATGGGCTGCCCTCCCTGCCCGTACTCGAGGAGACTGAGACTAGCTTGTGTCCTCCCCCCTCCCTCTCAGCCCCATCCTCTGCTGCTATCCAACTCCCTTCTTCTAAGTCTCAACTCACTATCCTCCCCGCACCCCGCTTCCTAACCTCACCAGGGCCAGGAGGGCAGCAGCCCTGGTCACCCCACCTCTGGGACCAGGCCATCCATACTCTTCCCTATCTTCCTTCTCCAGAGCCAACCAGGCCCCAGGGTGGGTTGTAGGGAAGCTGCCAAAAGCCTGAGACTTGGATTAGACAGCTCTCTACACAAGGGGATGAGGCCCCCTCACACACCAGCTTTCATACATACAAGCACACACTGAGTGTCATCCGAAAGATTTAAGAATTAAAGTGAAACAATCCCAAAGCGGTACCACCCTTGTGCTCCCCTGGCAGGAGTTAAAGTGCTTCGGCCGCCTGAGGGTTACAAGTGAGCAAGGGTATTTCCCCTGGCCTCCTGTCAAGACCTCGTGATCCATGCTCAGCCCAGGAGCCCAGCCCACTCCATGACCACCCCCACAGAGTCTCTATTCAAAAGGCAAAAGGAAAAGATTAAAAAAAAAAAAAAAATAGAAGGGGTCAGAACCCAGGGGGCCAACCCCAACCCCACTACAAGCTACTCCAAGTTGGCTACTGGGGGATGTGAGGGGGAAACCAGGCCCAGAGGCTCAGCCCCCATCTCCGGCAGTGTCCAGAGGCTCCTTCTGTCTTTAGCATCGCAGCATAGGCCTTCCTACCCCACCCCTGCCAGCCTGGGCAGGGACAGGGGTGGCCCCTTCAGTACTTATTGATTCCAAAAATCCGGACTCCATGGAGCTGGGGCAGCTTGGGGATGAGCACACTCATCAAGGACACAGTGTTGAGGATGAAATGGATCTGGTCGTACTTGGTGTAGAAGCTGGTGAGGAAATACCTGGGAGAGGAAAGTTGGGAGAGATACAGAAAGCCGTTTGGAGGACCCTTTCCTCCCTCACTTCCTGGGTGGGAGCGGCAGAATCCTGACAGCCGAGCAGTTATGGGAGAGATCCCCAGACCAGAAAATGATCTCCCAGGCTCAAGAGACCCCTCCAGCCCCAGCCCTCTGCTGTACTCCAGGCCTACAGGCCCATCTCCCTAGCAGGAAGGAAGCTCCAATAAAGGAAAAGCAGAGCCAAGTGGAGGACCCAGGGACATCCTATATCAGAGGTAAGGTTAATAAGCCTGGCTGGGCCCCAGGGTCCCCCAGGCTTTGCCCTGCCTGCTGGTGTCCTCCCCAGCCCGGACACTCACAGCACAATGGGTGTGATGGTCAAGAACTTCCGAGAGGCCGTGAACTGGACTCCATAGTCCATCTGTTCCCAGTGGGTCAGCAGCCTTGCTTTGCCCTGGTCTGGAGTCTCAAAGGGTGTTCCCTTCACTGTGTGCAGGAAGATGTACATGCCCTGGAAGAAGGGGTCTTGCTAGAGGATACAAAAGGCAGTAGACACTCTGGCTCAACTCCTTCACCCACTCACAGACAGAAGTAGCTCCAGGTCAGATACAGTGCTCTCGCCTGTAATCCTAGCACTCTGGGAGGCCAAGGCAAGTGGATTGCCTCAGCACAGGAGTTGGACACCAGCCTGAGACAGAGCAAGACCTCATCTCTAAAACTAGCTCGGTGTTGTGGTGGGTGCTTATAGTCCCAGCTACTTGGGAGGCTAAAGCAAGAAGATCTTGTGAGCCCAAGTGTTTAAGTCTGCTGTGAGCTATGATGCCACGGCACTCTACCCAGGATGACAGAGTGAGACTCTGTCTCAAAAAAGAAGAAAAGGCTCAGCGCCTGTGGCTCAAGTGGCTAAGGCACCAGCCACATACACCAGAGCTGGTGGATTCGAATCCAGCCCGGGCCCACCAAACAACAATGATGGCTGCAACCAAAGAATAGCCAGGCATTGTGGCAGGCACCTGTAGTCCCAGCTACCTGGGAGGCAGAGGCAGGAGACTCGCTTGAGCCCAGGAGTTGGAGGTTGCTATGAGCTGTGATGCCACGGCACTCTACCCAGGGCGACAGCTTCAGGCTCTGTCTCAAAAAAAAAAAAAAAAGAAGAAGAAGAAGAAGAAGAAGAAAGAAGAAATGGCTCCAAAGGATGTGGGGCCTCCCTCTGCCAGGTAGGGGTACATGGATTAGAGATCATGATGGAGCAGCTGCAAGCCTGGAGCGGGGAAAGAGCAAGGGAGCCTCTGGAGGGCACAGCAGGCCTGGTATGAGAAGAACAAACAGTAGGAGAAGGGGGCCGCAGGATAGGCACAGAAAAGATGCCACTCCCAGCCAGTCGTAGCCCCCAGTGCCAGCTGGGAGGAGATGAGCGAACAGTAACAGACTAGAGCCCTGAAAGGTAGCAGGTGCTGAGAGGGCAGGGAAAAACAAGAACAGAAGAGAGCCTAACTTGGAAAGGAGCATTTCTGCCTGGGGACACTCCAGAGCCCTTCATTTAACTCTCAATGGCCCATCTTCTTTACTTTTTATTTTATTTTATTTTATTTTTGAGATAGAGCCTCAAGCTATCACCCTGGGTAGAATGCCGTGGCATCACAGCTCACAGCAACCTCCAACTCCTGGGCTTCAGCAATTCTCTTGCCTCAGCCTCCCAAGCAGCTAGGACTACAGGCACCCACCACAATGCCCAGCTACTTTTTGGTTGTAGGCATCATTGCTGTTTGGCAGGCCCGGGCTGAATTTGAACCCACCGGCTCCGGTGTATGTGGCTGGCACCTTAGCCGTTTGAGCCACAGGCGCTAAGCCACAATGGCCCATCTTCTAGACCCACAGCAACCCAGCCCCAGACATGGACAAATCTGCAGATTTGATTCTTCTTATTGGCATGCACGGGGCTGAAACTCAGGCAGGATTTAAGGCACAGAGATAAGAGCTGGGTGCAGGCTCTGGTGGCAGACGTTGTCAATCTATCACTGTGACATCTGGCCCATGTCTGGTGGGCTCCTCCTGTCCCTAAGCCCCTCTAAAGAGCAGCCCACGTTGTCAAGAAAGGCAGCAGGTAGGCTCTCACCATGTTGTGGATGAGGTTGGTGAGGGTCCAGACAACAGGGACACTCACGAAGGGGATGCTCAGCAGCACGACATGGAGAAGCCCGATGGCCAGCACGTAGGACAGCCAGATGCCGCGGCTGTTCATTACCCGCGTGTTAGGGTTCACCTCGCTGTGCGCCGTGCCCACATTCATCCTGCTGCCCCCTCTACTGTTCTGTAGACAAGAAGCACATGTGAGACAGATCACACCACTTTCCCTGCCCCATCACTTTCCAAATCCTGTGGGGAGGCAAGCTCTTCTTTTCCTGAGAACTCCAGGCAGTCCCACTGCTTTGGTTCTCAAACATGGAGGCTAAAGAAAGTCCAAGTGGTCTTAATTCTATGCATTTCCTGCTACCGGGCTGGGATAAAACACCAACCTGCCCCACACACTGCCCCATCAAGA